CCACCCGCAGGGAGGACAGAGGGAGGCCAACAACTGTCTCACAAAATGATTTATTATTTTAAATCACAGGTAAACACAAAATAATCTTCACAATATTTACACGCAGACAACTGAACATCATTTTATCCCCATCTTTCAAGTAGAGAAAGCAAACACAAGACAGTGCCACTTTTCCCTGGCAATCTCCTCCCATTCCATTACGGGGTTCATTAACAACTAGGGCACGTCGGTATGCCTCAGCGATATGACATAGTGATGGGAAATGAAAAAACTGGTATTAATCGATACTTAGGAATCCAGTATCTTTATGTAACTTTATCAGATTACAGTGAAAAACTTAACAGCATTGATTATTACCAGCAACTTTTAAAGCACAGGACTAGAATGGACCACCTAACTCATCAGATTCACTCCACCACAAAAGCAGCAATCACACAACAGAGGTTTATGTTATAAATGTTTTCTTTGGTGGATGTCATTAGATATTTTAAAGGATAATTCTCAGTAAAATAAGCAGCAAAAATATTTCCTAGCAACGATAGCCTGTTTACATACCTGGTCAGATGGGGCATGACACTCGGGAGACTCCTCCATAAGACGAGCTAGAAACATACACAAATCTTTCTTTTCTAAGCGTATGCATGGATGACTCTCTGAACAGGTCAAAATAAAGAGGTCATAATTAGTAGGCAAATTCAAATAGGTTCATGCTACAGAAAACACACTGTTGATTGCTGCACTTTTGGTAATATGGGGAATGAAGGCAGAGTATTTGGGTAAAGGAAAACACAGAAATATAGAAGACATATTTGTTTATATACTGCACATACATACAGATTAACTGTCAGAAAATTGTTAATAGTTTCTCCGTCTCACTTCAGTGAGACGGAGAAAGGTTTGTGCTGGTGTTGCCAAAGGAGCACACCACTTACCGTTAAGCAACACTGAGCTGGTTAACAGCCATAAAGCATTACCACCATGCAAATAACAAATCTAATAAACCCCACAGAAACTAATACTCAAAGAAAAGCTCTGCGCTGTGGTTAAACTCCTGCAGCTCATTCTATCTACAAAGAAGCAGTCAAACTTCAGTTGTGATGTCTTGTTTTTGTATTATTTCCTGAAGCTGAAGAGATGTGCCCGTTTCAGTTGACTATATTGAGATGATTAACCAGAGCAAAGAGATACAAACCATCCCCCATGTCCTCAGCTCCAGAAGGTCTCCTCTTCTGAGGGGAAAAAAAAAAAAGTCATCCTTTTAACCTACTTTTGAAGCACAGCATTGTAGTAAGGAGAGTGTACATGCATATGTGTGTGTATATATATGCATATATGAACATGTAACTTAGTTGTGTTTATTCATGTTTTAAAAAATAATCAGCACCCTTCACCCCACATAAATGCAAACAAAACGTAAACGAAAACCTGGTATCTCATATCGCCGATTCCCTTTCTTTTTGCCAGCACAATAAATTTTCAGAAAAACAAAAACAATTTATACCATCCCTGTTAAATATGCAACTACCAGTCCAATGACGAAGTACTTCACAGCACCTTTTCTTATAAAACACCGTTAGTGCAAGCATTAAGTATTTCCCGTTGATAGATACCTCATCGCTTTAGGATTAGCTCACGGATGCTTAATAGACTTTTTTTTCTTCTTTCATTATTTTCCACCAAAACCTGATTTTCTTCCATCATGTTTATCCCCAATGTGATATAACAGAACGATTCTGTACTTCACTTACCACAGGTCTGTTGGCAAGGAGTCTTCAAGGATAATAGCTTTCAAGTGGCAAAACCCAACGCTTTTATACCTTCCCTCTCTCCTGTGAGTCACAGTCATGTACTCTCCGTTTCGCCTTCGACACCACCTTGGACCCACCCTGTCAATATTTGTATGGCATGTGGAGATCAGTTTGGTGAACTGGAGAAGTTGACCAGGACAACCAGACGTTGACCTATGACCGCTACACGCATGTAAATGCTCTCCCCCCAGCTTAAAGTGATGAATTAAAAGATAGATTTGTATCGGTATTGTTATTCAGCACTGCTCAAATCTCTAATAAAATATCTCCTCTGGGCTGCGTGAACTCAAGAGTAATTGGACAATCTAAATACCTATTTTATGATGTGTATTCACCTCTGAAATACGCAGTCTGCCAATACTTACCTACATAATCAATATACAAAACAGGACTGCCCAAGATTGGAAGGGCTAGTAATAAAAATGATGTCATTTCTCTAAAAGACTTAGTATTATTTTCCATACTCAAACACACTCTTCAGAGCTTTCCTTTTTTTTTTTACATTAGTCCCGACTTCCTCCTACTACAGGGCTTTAGGGACCCATTAAAGCATACCGAGCATATGGGATTTCCAAAGTTTCTTCGTTATCTTTTATTACTCTCACTGAATCAAAGTAGACTCGGTTTGTTAAACCAAAGCAGGAAGTCAGTCAAAAGGGGAAGTCAGTCAAAAGGAGTAGTGAACAGTTCTGGAAAATGCTAGAAAAATAACAGCACGAATGTTGTTTTTTTTCGACTAGCAGTTCCTGGAAGCGGCAGGTGACCGGTGCAAGCCCTCTCTCTCTGCTGCCATGTCAGCAGAAGTGGTTTGCTTCAACTAACACCACAACTGGGAAGAACGAGGAAGTTCGTGGGCAGGTAAAAGACATTTGAAGACACTGCATCCAATTTCTTATTAAATCCCACCAAGGCAGCGTTTTAAACGGGCTCGGACTTTCAGAGTTTATAAATTCTGGAGTTTTTAAGTTCTAAAGCTGCAATGTTACTAACTTAAGCATCCGGTATCCGCTCTGCCAGATGCCCTACTCAAAGCTGAAGGCCTGACTTGCAACGCAGGTGCTTTAGCCTGACAGTGGTTTGAAATCCCCGTATTTCGGCATGGAAAAAACTGAGAGAGGACCCAACACATGGCGTTTCTGTCAGCACCTTCTTTAATATCCCGAAGGACAACCACCGGCCAGCGCACGGGCCTGCAGCCCTCTCGTCGCTGACCGTTAACGCCCTCCCCCGGCTCCTCCCCGCGGGGTAAC